GGGAGGGAGGAGAGGGAGAGAGAGAGAGAGAGAGAGAGAGAGAGAGAGAGAGAGAGAGAGAGAGGGTCTATGACAAGATGCATTATACGTGATATGGCCGAAGGCATACGGATTTTAGATGTATGTGTAACATTGTGATGACTTGATTCCCTATTGTAATGTTGACTACCTCTGATATCCCGGAGAGGGTACACCCATGGAACTATGGTTCCATGGTACACCCAAACCCCTGGCCCACCCTATCTCCGTGGCACTCATCATGAGAATCACGTGCCGGTAGAAAGAGGGCTTCAATAGACCGAGGGGACAATTGGCCGACAGTAGCCGACTGTGGCTGACTGCATACATGGTTTTGTTGGTAGTTGTATTAACATTGTAACTTAACAAAAAAATCGCAATGAAAACGACAACTGTGCGTTCACATACTTGTATACATAGCTATGCTGAAAGGTGAGTTATTGCGAAGCTACGTACAAGAATTTGCACTATTCGCCCTCCAGGCATAACACCTGGAGTCAGACCAAGTTGTTTTTGACGTATCATTGTGCGTGTTTGTAAACTCAAACCATTGAGCGGATTGAGGTTACCATGCTCCCATGCTCAAACCAAATAATCGTTCTAGACCTGTCTTGTTTTGTGGCTTTGTTTTCCAGTAGTTAGAGCTCAAATGAGTTTATGAACAAATAACCTCTTATCAAGTTGTCTGATCATCACAGTTCCTCTATCAGAGGGACTGTGGATCCATGTTCCGATTTTGTGATACTAGTAGTCTAGTAATGGTATTAGTTTAAAAATGGACTAATCGGCAGCGATGTCACCATGGTCGGATCGAACCCGTCGACGAGGGCGCAATAACTGTCGCCAAACATGTCAGGCTTAGTTGCCTGCAAAATATTACACAGGTCGAGGAAGGCGTCAGACAATTGAAATCATAGGGGTGGGGGTGGGGGTGACGAGTGTGGCCGGTGTAATTTTTTTCTTTCGCGTTTTAACTATATTTTTATTATTAATAAGAATCATCTTTTCCATGCATATTTTGTTCTCTCTAAGTCTGGCTTGCATTCAAGTTTTTTTAAAACAAATCTTTCAGCCACCTACATGATTTCAATTAGTCGACCCATAAACACGGAGCACTTACCAATCTCATCACAGATATAAATCACAGTACCTCAACAAAGGGGGGGGGGTACTGTGTCTGTGTAAACGCATAACTTAGTAATCAAAAATATAAACTCTTACATAGAATTGTCTAGTATTTTGTATTTCTGGCAATGATGATCATGAAAAATACATTGTATTTTTGAGTAGGGTTTTATTGAAGAATAAAGGGTTCACCATTGGTAACAAAACATATACAGAGAATATTACAAAACAAATATATATTTTAATATAAAAAAAATCAAACACCATCCAAAATTTAAAACTAAGTGAAGGGGAAACATAATTGTAATTGACAAGGCTGGGTCAGACTTTCCCTCGGTCACAGTTGAGGGAGTATTCAGCTGGATGAACTTTTCCGAGAGGTCATTCATAACGTGGTAGTCATGTGACGACGATCACGTGATGTCAGCAAATTGCGGATTAATAACATCGCAACGTTGTTGTTGCGCTGAGGGTCAATATTTAGATACAACGTTATCTGCACATTAGAATCACAGACCGATCGGTTATCGACCCGTGCAATTGTTGGACAACGATATCAGGTATTGTTTCAATTTGTTTGCATGATAAAACTTCCAGAATTACGCGATGTGACACGTTTTAAAGAGCTCTGCTTCAACATGGAGGTCAGAATTGTATATAAGGGGCGGGGGGGGGGGGGTATTCGTTTCGGCCAACAAGGAAATTAAATTAATAAAAAGTCCAGTGGGCTCAAATTAGTTTATGCAGCATTTACCTAGTCACACCATCGGAATTGACATTAACATTAGTGTCACGTTCATTGTCGGTAAATGAAATAACAGCAGCGATGTGCCAGCATCATTACCATGAATTTGAATACAGTTCCTGTTATGTAAAATAATGTCAACAATTTTATACGTAGTTCTACGTCACCATCATTTGTATTTATACATCGTACTTAGTATGTCAGTTAATGCCACTGACAATTATTTTTAAATATTTATTTATTTTAATTAACTCATACAAATCTGTTCAGCTTGTTGGTTTGCATGTGCTCTAAATAAGGTATCTCTAAATTAAATACACATACTGCAGGTTAGCCTCCATAGAATCATTTTTAATTAAAATCGGTAGATTCAAAATAAGAAGGGGGATTATACTTAGGAGGTACTGTGGTATTTTTAATATAGTAATATTTTAATTAAAATGATATTTTAGTGACAGTATCATCAGCAAAACAAAAAAATTCACATTGTTAATGGTGTAATCCCATGTTTGTTATCTGCATGAGTGTAGACTTAATTTGTATTCATGCCTGTCATTTCTTTGTTGTTTGAAACAGTTATTTAACATGTCTGCTTGGAAAATTAATTCCTATTGTTAAAGCGAGGGAGTCGTCACCTGCGCATGCGTCAGATAGCCATAGCGCGTCATTGTTTACAAACAAGCATCTACCCATGAGCCTTTGCATTTTTAGCGTGTGTTGATATTGTCGCTTGGGACTCAATTGCTGTGCTTGTGATGACCCTCTCGCTTTAATTACTTTAATTACTGGTATTTTGTTTGTAATTGCAAATACCACCATAATCTGATAACGTGTGTACCTGTAATCAAAATTATGTGAAATAAACGTAATTTCGCATTGGCAAAATTTGAAAAAAAAAATGTAAAATTGCCATGCCAATCTAGGTTGTTACTAGCACACTTTTGGTGACAGGTATTTCCTGAAACGTTGTTGAAAACAATTTTGTGATAGGCTGTTTTAAATTATCTAAACAAAAAACGTAATGTTAATAGGTGATGGCTATTGAATCTCCTCATGATGTGGCCTGGGTTTGTCAATTGATTTCTCATTTTTTTGTCAGCGGAGGGGGGTACCATGTGCCTCAAACTTTCCCTAAATCCACACATGTACATGTGGTATGTGGTAGATCCTGAAAAGTAATTAAAATTGAACATGTATTGCACTCAACCTGCAAATATTGACAGAATTCAAAGGCATCAACTTATCATGACATTTCCACATTATTAAAATTAATGAGAGTACTAGTATCAAAATACCAGAAATAACATTTGCTTGAACCTAATAGATCACATAATATTCTGTGTTTTTGATAAATCTACAGAATTTTATAGTTTATTTTATGCGAATGAACAAAAATTTGTTTATTTCTGTGCTAATTAGCTATTGTCATTCCACCAAATTTTGTAATTTAATTTTTATTTCATTTACTTTTCTCTTCAAAGTAAATGACTAGTACTTTGCTATTTTTAAGGAAATATATTCAGAAAACTATCTCAGATGTCATTTTTAACATCTGTATTTAAAGCATGACTATGTTCTTCTAGCAAAAATCATAAGAGAACAACTTATTGTAAAAAAAAATTAAAAGAAATTTCCTGCCTGTCTACCGTGTATTTTTCATTGCCAGAGATACCGTATTTGTTTTATATGGTCTAGTCAACCTACATGTACTTGGTGTGTCTGATATGGATCCGCATTAATTCTCTACATTACACATGACTAAAATTATAAATAGAATTCCTGACAATGCGTACACATGCCATTGACTGCGCAATTGAACAATTAGCATATTGTGGCCAAATATCTCTAAAAATAAAACCTTGTCACAGACCAACAAGAATCGAGCTGTAAGGGATACTACTGTCTGACATCAGCATGTTTTTTTTTTTTCAATCGGATTCTAATTTTTAGTTCACTGCATATGGCACAATGCTGATATGTATTCCGTCTTTTACGTTATTATATTTGATCGTAAATTATAATTATAATCCTGCCATGTACAATGTATACACGTATCCCAGTAGCATTTATGTTGCAGTAACTATTTTACAGTGAAGCAATGTAATACTCTAATCAAACACAGTATATTTCCATCGATAGGAAGAAGCAATTAACGTATATATATAACTATAATGTAAGTGTGTTTATTTCATGTGTAACAGCTGTTGTAGAATTTATGATTTTTTTAAAACATACATGTATTCATCCAAGCTTTATTGCCTTTTATCCAATTTTACACCAAGTGCATAAAATTATGTAATTTTTTCATATTGGGTACATTCTGTAAATGCATTAATTATTCTTATTTAATTTTACTATTTTCATAAAATTTGCTGAATTAAATGCATGTGAACATGTAAAATAACAATAGAACTCATTGTTTTACTGTCAAGTTCATTAACTTGAAACACAGTCAAATCACTCAAGTCATGAAAATGAAATGAAATGTCAGTGGAAATAAATGGTATTGCGGTAATTCTGCTTAGGATTGGGTTGCTATTGGTGACAAGTAAAATATGTATATTTATAATCAAGGGCTAATGAATTGAAGGGTTTTCAACTGTAGATCAGAGAAAAACAACATGTCCCACAATCAAATACTTACCGTATACACATGAGTTATGATGGGAATTATTAATACATACAAATATGTAAAGAACCATCACCTGTACCAGCATATTAAACAAACAAGTCAATCAATCAATCAATAAATTACCACAATTTGTTACGTCCCATCCTGCTATCAGCTTGAGGCAAAAAATATAAATTATATTTGTCATTTTTAATTTCAAACATCGTTATTTAAAAAAAAATGAGCTTTGCTTCTACAACTGAACACTTTGATGAATCTTAGAAATTGTTCTGAAATTGTCTGTGTTTAAAATGCAAGTGAAATGCCTACCAACATGTTTCCCATTTTAGATCTGTGTCCCACTGAAATGGACAGTTATGGATTTTGTTGTTGAAAATGATTACTTGTATCCAAGTAAATACTTCTAGTGCTGTAGCCACGCCCACCTATCCTTAAATGGTCGACTGATTTCCGACTCTTGAGAGGAATCCATATCCATACTTTTATAACACTGCGTCATTCAACTTACTTTTAAAAGATTATACATTTTTCAGTCGTTTTTTTGTTGTTGAGAAAAAGAGTTTTTCAAAGAAATAGATTCCAGACCAGCCCATGTTCACTAAGGCGGATTTCAGAAGAGAGAGAGAGACGTCAATTGGATAAGTGTTTTTTTGCGATCCTAAATATAGAGACCATTTACTTCATGTTATGTAAGAAGTAGCAATAATTTTGATAGTGGCGCGAAAACGAAGTGTCGAACAAACAGGAAATTATGCAGCACTTACACACTGTTAATTGTGTTCTTTTTGCAGGCAAAAAGTTTCTGAATTGTTCAGTGACTGGTGTTGAATGTTGAATTCACACCTTTGTTACCTTTACTGGCAGCTTGATCTGCGTAATAATTTATGGAATAAGAATCCAGGCTTGAGATGTCAGTGTGTTACAACTAATTTTTAATATGATGTCATAATTAACTCGAATAACTCGGTAATTGTGATTTGTCGTTTTTTATTGATAACTATAGTTAAATGTTTAGAGTGTCAAAATATGTTCTTTTTTATTTTAATTTTTTTTTTTTTTTTTTTTTTTTATCAGACGATTGATGAAATAAAACAGTGTAGTGAAATGTCTAGTAACTTGCTAAATAACAAGACAATTCAGGCATTACATTCGATTTTCACAAACTCAGCGATGATCGACATAGACGTAGAGTTTCGTGGAAATAGAAGTCGACACTTTGATTGACTACCATATAAGTAATTGTGCAGTTCTGACCAATCCCGTTGTAGTTCTTTCTAACTTCTTACCAACACGAATGTTGTCCAGCGACAGTACAAACGAGCGCCAGTGACGGTGACGATCACGGTGACCAACTATGCCAAAAAGAACACATTTGGCATCTAACTCAACCCTTTGCCACAAATATGATATTATGTGTTCATTATGGACCATTCTTCCTCGATGAACAAGTACATAAGTGGCAATACAGTCAAAGATGAGAAAACTGCACAAGAAATGTTGCTTATTTACACGTTGTCTCATACGACTTATTTACCACTTCCGTGTCACTGAGAATGTTCTAGAACCGTACTGTGTCTGGGTGGAATATTCTAGATTTTGTTTAGAAACTGGTTGAATAGGTAATAGAACACTGTAGGAGGCAATAGAAGGTAATGGAACATTCTAGAAATTGGTAGTAAGTTCCAGACTCAATATGTATGCTGATGTAATGGTCTATTTATAGACAGTGCGGGTATATATAGGGGAGTTGTTCAGCACTGAGTTCAGATCGGAGATCTCGTTGAATTGTATTGGAGTTTAAGTATCTAGTCATTGGAGTAGTGGAGTTTTACCGCGTTATTGTACTTGATGTTTGCAGAGTATAATAATACCAGTACCAGTTGAAACCTCATCTGTTGGCTCCGTGTTCGTATTTTATCATCGCCGCCAGGGAAGTCTTTTTGTTACTGTTGCCATTTTGGTATTTGAACCATCACACCTGTACTATACCAATTACGGTAATATTACGTTGCGTGTGACACACGTATCGGCAATGCCAGCTGCCCAGCATGTTCCCCTTCTGACATTACAAGGGGAATTTCTGTATGCAAATGAGAAGCCTCGTTTTAAAATAAACAAAAATAAAATTGTCCTAGACTGAGTTTGAAATGTATTTTTTCACTTAAAAAAATATTTTATGCTGAGGCCAGACTTTTATTATCCCTTGTTTCACAAACCCGCCGAATGAACAGAAGCCGAAAATGAAATAAAAATAAAATTTTATTTCAGCGTAATTTCTGGCGCCTGCCGACTTGTAAGTGCAAAATATTGCTAAAAAAAACTTATTTTTATCTTCATTTTTTTTCCGCCCGCCGCATAACAAACCCAAGTTGCATTTTCGTGGGAGAATCATGATCAAAGTACCGAAGTCTCGCGCAGATGAGAAACAAGGGTATACATGGAATAAAATTTTATTTCATTTCTTCTCTCTGATCAATGATCCCACTTACAATTCTTTGAGAATCACACAAATCTAATGGCAAAAAAGAATTAATTTAATTTTTTTTCTGCCCTCCTCACAAAAATTGCCTTATAAAAACTCGAGAAACGAGGAATAAAAAAAGTCTAGCCTAATGATGTACCAATGAATGATTATAGGTGAGAAAATTTCACAGGCAATTTAAGCCATTGGTTTTGCTAGAAATGTACAATAGTTGCAAAGTTTTGTCTGTGTTACCAGTGGTATATCAATATAATTGCATAGCAGTATTTTTCTATATTTAATTCTTAGTCAAGTAAATAAATTATAATTATTTTGTATCCTCAGTGCTAACATGTCTTTAAGGTCAGCTTTCAAAGCTAAGTTTCAATCCGAAAAAAGCAAAAGTGAGGATACAGTGGTTGTTGATAAAGATGAAAGTAAAGATACTTTATCAACAGAAGAGCAGGCAAGTGCATCAAGCAATGACAGCGTTTTGGATACAAGCACCATAAGTCAGGTAAGTGTTCTGCATCAATATTTTGTGGAAAGAAAAGTATTCATAAAGTTAAATTTTAAGAGGATTTGGTGTTGAAGGGATATTCACTAGATTTATGTAAGAAACAATACTATTTCAATTACCATTGTCTCTGGGTTTTATTTTAGTGCATTTAGATATCAATGAAATAAAGGAAATGAAAATCCAGCTATTAATTAAAACTTTATACAGTATCTGGGAATGGGATATGCTGTTAAAGTGAAATTGGCTTTATTCGAAATGGAATCGGTGTGTGTGAGTGAGGTATGCTGTGGTAATGGGGGTGGGATGGACTCTGGTTGTAGGGTTTATGTTTAACACAGTCACAGCCTACAAATATAACATCATATTTTATCAAAAGAATTTGTGTCTGTATGGCCATACAATGTTTAAATTTTGTGTTGCAGCATGTGTTTTTGACTCCCATGTGCGAAGCACAAAATGGGAGTCTTTGCAGTTAGTGTGTCTGTATGTGTGTATGTGTGTATGTGTGTATGTGTGTATGTGTGTATGTGTGTCCGACTGTTCCACTGCTATCTCAAGAACCATACATCGGTTTTTGATGAAACTTGGTGCATAGATGCTCTGGGCCAATGCGCAGATTTGATTAGGTTTTGGTAAAAATCCATGCTCGTTAATTACCTAATTTGCATGATAATTAGCTATTTTTTAGCTGTTCTATGACTGTTCCACTGATATCTAAAGAACCACTCATTGGATTTTGATGAAACTTGGTACATAGATGCTCTGAACATATGCGCAGATTTGATTAATTTTTGGTAAAAATCCGTGCATATTAATTACCTAATTTGCATGATAATTAGCTATTTTTTT